AAAAGCTTTGTCCTTGCTTAAAAATATAGCATTTTTCTTCTGTCTCTGTTGACTGAGCTGTACATAATACAATTTTTGCAGTTCCTATACTGAAGTATTATTTTAAAATTGTTAATGCCTTTCAATTATGTTCAATAGGGCTGTTCTATCAAGGCACGATCCCAAACCCAGAGTACAATTATCATCCACCGGTGACCTTTCCAGGTCCTGGGCCACTCAACCCTTACCCACCCAGAGCCCAATTCAATCATGGGCCTCCCTTGGGCCCAACTAGCCCCTTAAGCAGACCCCAGCAATATCCCCCAACACCTTGGGCCCCGCCAGGTGGAGGCGCCTATAATAACCAGAACTTTCACCCTCGGCCCAATTTCCCAAGAGGCGGTAATTTTACCAGCCCAAGCCCAAGACCAACGAATTCCAACCACTATAACCCGGGACGCGGGAGAGGAATGGGCCCGGATTCTGGGCCGAGTTTTTCCAGGCGAGGAGTGGGCCCGCATGATTTCATCTCGGCTGAACAACGGCCAGATTTGTATTACAGGAAGGAAATGGTTGAGGATCCTTGGCGGTTTTTGAGTCCCGTTGTTTGGAAGAGTGGTGAGGTATGTGCTCGTGATTCGGGTCAATCGTGGCTCCCGAAATCAATTTCTATGAAGAAATCGAAAGCTTCGCCAGGGGGCCCACAGGGGTCGATCTCTCAGCAGAGCTTGGCCGAGTATCTGGCAGAGACCTTCAATGACTCTACCGATTGAGGTTTTTGTTGAAATGGGGAGAAACTAGAGGGGTGTAATTAATGGAAATTTTTTTCTCAGTTGCAAATGGATAGATATCATTTGGGCTTGTATTTTCAGATTGTTTGCTGTGTTCGAATTTCACAAGTATGCATTTTAATTTCGAAAAACATAATGAATTGGCGGCCCATCTATGATTTTTACACAAAAGTTTGTGATTTTTCATTCTTAAAGAAAGAAGTTTTTGGATGCATAATGAATTCGAATTTGGCTTGTGGTTCCACTTATCCAAAATGATTTATGGTTTTATAATATTCTACTTCAACAATGGATTAATTGCTGAAGTGATAAATTGAGCCCCACTTTTTGGTAAATTCAAGGAAAAGAAGGCAGAAAAAGAGCGAAGCCAACTTACATCATCTGTTAATGGGGTAGTGTAAAATTGAAAATTCATTTGCAATTGTTATACGCAGGTTAAAATACACAGCTCGGGTGCAAATATATTATTATTAATTATAATAAGTTTCTTTTCATGAGACATTAAAACGCCGTTAAAACAGTCTGTACAAACTTTATATACAGAACTGAGATGCTCTACAACTATAAGGCATCTCTCATTTCACCTAATTCTACATGTTTGAAGCCCAAGTACTTTGGATATATATATATATACACACACTTTTCAGCTGCCTCTCAAATGGAGAAGGGAAGTTTCAGGGCTGGGTCGGGTTCGGGCTTTTGCTTGGGGAGGAGCACCTAGGTGAGCCCTTCACGCTCTGCAACAGCACATCCTGATTAATGGACGCCAGCTGTGATAAATTCTGCAAACGACACAACTCTATAAGTTTGAAAATATGTTCAATGCATCCGAGTAGATAATTGTCGTGTATTATTTTATTATTCGAAAAAAAAAAGATTAAGAACGAGCAAAAGGATGACATCGTGAAACTCTATCAGTTTGAAAATATGTTCAATGCATCCGAGTAGATAATTGTCGTGTATTATTTTATTATTCGAAAAAAAAAAAAGATTAAGAACGAGCAAAAGGATGACATCGTGAAACTCTAAACGTATTTGTATAGGAAAATCAGATCAAACTCAAGAATGGAATAGAAGGTTTGTGCTGGCTAAGGTCGGACTAGTTTATGGAAAAATTCAAACGTTAAACGAATAATTAGCTCAGAACTGAATTCTAATCTGATCTCTAACTATTGAACTAGAGAAATTACCGCACCTTGAAAGAGAAATTCATCAATGACAGATCAAGTGGTGAAGAATCGAACCGGGCAAGATCACCGCATTCATCCATCTTGATACAAAAGAAACAACAATAATCTATCATTGGCAATAATTACAATTGGAAAGCATATGTTTGTTTATAAATTTTTCTAATCCATACTCAAAATCTAACTCAACTTTAAATCAACCCCACTATCATCAATATTATCAATATAATTAAATAATACCAAACAATCATTCTTACATATAGCATCAATTTTAATTCACTATTCATCCACTCACATAATTAACCATCACTTCACATCATCTCTCTCCTACTTTTACATCAAATCAATTTTAATTCTCAAAATCCAACTAACAACTAACCATACTAACTTTTCCAAAATTAACCCTGGTTAACAAAAAAAATTCGTTTTGTGCGGATATATATCTACTTTCAAAAAAATGGGGGGCATCTTTCCCAATCTTTAGTGCTCATCTCGACAGTAGTAATTTGCCGCCCTTGGCATAATTCCATGTTTCGACTAAGCATTACATTTTTCATACTCAATGGAAAAACGAACTGAGAGAACTATATGAGAATCTACTTCCAAAACATACGGTCATTTTTGGTACCAATTCAGACTCGAGAATGAGTAGCAAACTCATGAGTATGAGTTGTACCTGTCCACCAGTATGTGTTTGCAATTCCAAGCTGTCAGAATCTGAATCCGTAGAACTTTGATCCACTTCCATTCCATTTGAGTTATATCGTGATACAAAGTAACTAGTATCATCCATACACTCTGGTCGTGGTACAAATACAGCCTGTAGACACATCGACCACCAAATCAACAGTTATAATAACAACCACAACTTCTTTAACACGGAAAATGAGTCTCGTGTACAGCCAGCTAACGATATAAACAATTAAAGAAAATTGCTAATTACATAAGATGCTCCCGTGTCATTTTAACAAGATAACTTAATGAATTAGGCAAGCCACCTCAAACCTAGTTATCTTAAATACCATGTATAGAAGTGACATTTATCATTAAGGGTATCTGTATCTCTGTTTCAAGTTTTTCGATTTGGTATCAAATCTACATACAGAGGAACTCCATGCGTACATCTCATTGATAACCAAATGAAATAAGGGATTAACAAGCTTGGCCTAAAATTGAGGACAGCTGTCAAGTGATGGGTTACGGTAGGAACATAAGCACCTTATGTTGTATACCTCGCATCCTCAGCTTTCATATGAATATAAATATACATAATTTGATACAAGTAATAATAAAGCCTACCCACCTCTTGTAAGGTAAGATTATCCCAGTCCACTCCTGAGAAAAAGGAATGTGCTTTTACCTGAGAGAAAACAGAACGAGAGAAAAGACAGTTCAAAGTTAAAGTGGACGGCTTTGAAATCAAATCAAGTGAAGTTAAGTTGAGATATGCGACCTCGGATGCTCCTTTTGCTCCAAGCCGCTCATCTGGATTGTGAACGAGAAGCCTGGGTGAAATTCAAGAAGGAAAGATTGTCATTAGCTGGTTTTCACACCGAAATGAACAAGGAAAACATTTCCCTGTTCCTACAAGAGTTTAATCATAGCCATGATATTCAGGTTGGGAAAATCATAAAGCAATGAAGAAACAAATTCATACAGTTTCTTTTAAGATATAATTAATTCTAAAGGAGACGATAAACTAACAGAAATCGAGTGATTGTAAATTCGATTCTGGGTAAAGAGGTACAATGTAGATTTTCATGATATAAGTACTAAATAACCAACATTCATTGCCTTACAATCGATGCTACCTTTTCCAGTTGATTCATCTTCAAATTATTAACCAACCTGTCAATCAGATCTTGCGCTTGGCAAGACATCTCATCAGGAACCGATGGCCAGGGGATTTTTCTGTTTAGAATATTGTCAAAGATATTCTGACAAATAAATAAAATGCAACATGTCAGATGGCTTAAAAATTTGGTTATCTGATGATTTNNNNAAAAATAGCCAGAACAAACAATCTCTAGAAGTAGCAAAAAAATAATCAAGCCGTAACATAGACATTATAGAGCATATTTAGTATTTACATGCCAACTAGTTTTTGTCCTGTGCAAATGCACGGAAAACTATATGATACATGAAAAATAATAAAAATTATAAACAATAGTAAAAATCATAACAAATTCATTGAAAAAAATTAAGAAAAAAAATATAAATATTCTTAAACACTTCTTTATAAAACAACGTCGTGGTTTTTCTATCGTCAAAATTTCCCTCAGCTCAAATCAAAATCTTCAAACCCCACTGACTCGTAACTTTAAAAAGCGCCACCTATAATTGCTCATGACTAAATGCAGAGCTCTTCAGTAGTAAGCCGACGTGCGACAGAGACTGTCTTTGACTCTTATTGATCATGTCATAGCATAGGAAACACTTCTTTATATTGTTTGTCTCGACTCTTATTGATTGATAGAGATTGTCCTTGCTTCTTAATAAAAAAATACCATCTAAATATAAATGAGTAAATATAATATTAATTTTTTATATAAACAAAAAATTTAAAGTAATTGATAATGAGTATAGAATTACCCTTGCGGATTTAAGTTATTTCAACGATGTTCTTTTTATATATCTAAGATTTAATTTTTTTTTCTGATTTATATGAATATAAGCACATTTGACTAATTTTTATAAAATTTATTGAAAAAAGTTACTATCTTTTTGAAATACTGATAAGATATTAAGATAATACTGTACTTAACATAAATGTGGGATTAATTAAAATAAATTTTTTAATTTAGTCATTAACTAATTAAATTTAACTATAAAAAACCTTCTTAAATGTGAGATTAATGAGTAATTAATTTAAAAAAGATGTAACTCCTTTTGGAGGGAAAGTGAAAATATTTTTATTAAATGTTTTATTAAATGGGATTAGCTAGCAATTATATATATATAGATTCAGGGTTCCAAAACAAACCCTAGCCTTAAAATTTCCGAACCTATGGTGTGTTTGTTCCATTCAGTGCCCCCGACAGAACAGTACAGAAATTTTTCACGGTAGCCGTCATTACTCATTTAAGCAAATCTTCCTACCAAATGAAACAAACAATAGCAGCAAAACAAGATAGCAAATGAAGGATCTTGAGTAATTACCTCTGGATGATCAGCATTGAAAGGAGGGATTCCAGTTATAAGTTCAAACAAGATTATTCCAACTGACCACCAATCTGCAGCATAACCTACAGGTTGTATCAAGAAGATGATGTAAGCAATTCAACACACCTTGGTTTTTCCCAGCATTTTGAATTTTAGAAATCGATAGGGGACACAAAAGAGAACAGTAGCATCCATGAAACAACAATTTTTTTAGCTGCCTAACCATGTTCTTTTCCAAGAAGAATTTCAGGTGCCAAATAGTCTGGGGTACCAACAGCTGACTGGTCACCATCCATTTTATCTGAACTGAGCTGACCATTTATATCTAGATTGACGTTATCCGTCTCTCGCGAGGATAGCTCAGTAGTGCAATTCATCAGGCCAATTTTTGACAATCCAAAGTCAGTAAGCTGATAAAATTGTGCAAGGTTTAGTGGTTACTAATCATCATGAATATATCTTCCTACAGAGAACAAATAAATAGAGTGACTTATCTACTGTTCCAAGTTTGTATCCATACTATTGCGATTCTCACTAGTTTCTTTTCATCAGTCAAAATGTTAGTAAGCTAAAATTTTACTTCTCTCATTGTCTCCAAATTTCATAGCTAATGAAGTGTATGCATATATCAGGTCATTGCTTAAAAATTATGAAACTACCTCACAACCTTTGCTTCTAGGTTTCCAAAGTAACTTGAAGCAGAAACTGATATCATTTGACAATAAAAACTGTTGATATTAGCATTCTTGGTTCCCCAGGTAAAGGACAGAATAAATTCTTAACTTTTTCTACCAAACTTCCTATAGAAGCCATAACGTGTACAAATGCTTTAACATCCCCAATACACTATATTTCCTGTGAAGCAAGATACAGATTTCTCATATTCTTAACATAATTTTCTATATAGACTCAAGCGCCAATAAATCTCCCTAACCAGCAAAGAAGAGTGTATCTAGAAATACCTTGATATGACCATCATGGGCAATTAATATGTTGTCTGGTTTCAGATCACGATGTACTATTCCAAGAGAATGAAGGTATTCTAGTGCAAGTACCTAAAAGAAATTCCAAAGCATCGTTACATTTTTATAGCGTACTTACAAAGTTCTGACAGAAATAAAGAGCTTATATATAGAAAAATGTCATTGTTTACCAGTTCTGCAATGTAGATACGAGCAACAGCATCTTCAAGGCAACCAACCTTTTTTAGCAGAGAATATAAATCTCCACCATTGAGATATTCCATGACCAAATACAGGTTATCTGTACTGGTAAATGAGTAAAAAAACCGAACCTACATGAAAACGAATTCTGCTGAGCCATACATCCTACATCAAAATCTTCACATCTTGTATAGCATGGAAGTCAAAATAGTTCGAGTTGGTTTCCCTTTTTATTTATTGATTTGGTAATACTTCTGTTAAAATTGATTCGAAAAAGAACTTTGAACAGCCTCAAGTAATATATTTCCTTGTTGTATATTGACATGACTAACATTTGCAACTTCCCAATATAATACAAATTAAGGTACTTTATTGACATGACTAACATTTAGGTACATTATATCAGTAACACAAATATAGCCCTAATAATTATAATTACCACAAAAGGGTTCCGCACTGTGATTAATATATTACGCTCGGCCAATATGCGATCAATATCATTCTTCCGTAACATATCCAATTTCTTGAGCACCTGCAATAGTAACAGATACATTATCTTCTAATGAATCACGCACTTTAACTTTAACCTAACACGCATAGGCAAAATAGTTGAATTATTTGTTTCTGGCAATTTCAATCATGTTGTAATATTTTTTTAGATGTATGGCATAACTGCATAAGCAATATGAATTGCTCATGCATGTATTCGTCACACTTACGAAGACCTTTCAACTCTCCAACAATTTGTTTCTCATGATGAACCAGGGTCAGGCACATAACAATGTACTTTAAGCTACCCTATATTCCTTTATGTGGAGATCAATATCAATACTTTAAGTAGAGTACAATGACAGGAGCTTAAAAATTTGAAAATACCTTAATAGCAAACAGATCCCCTGTAATCCGCTTCCTAGCCAGAAAAACTTTGCCATAGGCTCCTCTGCTGATAGGTTTTATGATGTCGAAGTCATCGATGCTTGTACGTTCTTTATGGGCAGGATGTGAAGGTGTTGATGTTGTACTACTCTGAGATGCACTATCCATTACAGATCTTGCGCTATCTGGATGCCCAGCATCATCAACTTTGTCCACTTGATTGCAAGCAAGTATATATTTCTCCCTGCATATCAATTTTAGAAAGTTAAATCCTTTGCTAAAAGGTAAAACATTCATATACACAGTGCAACATTTCTTGTCCTTTTAATCTATTACCTCAGAAGGTTTTCGATTCGTCCACCAAAAGTATCCACTAAAAGAGCACTGTACTTGCTATGTTGCAAAACCTCTTTCAGGTCGTGCATACAGGCAAGTAAAAACTCACTGGACCCTTCTTCCGTAAAATCGGTCCCTGCCACGCATCGAGCAATATCAGCAAGGTCATGCATCTGCAAACATGATTCAGAGTTTAAGCATAACAAATTAAGTCGAATAAACTTAAATAAAATGGTAGAAATGCACAAACGAAACTTGGAACGTACAGCATGCTGTAATGTATAAAAGAAAAGAAGGTTCATCATAAGCTAATTATTTTATCTTACCACAAAAGCCAATGACTGGCCCTTAAAGTAGGAAAACAATTGGAGCCCGATACCTGAAATTCCATTGCCTATATGGAGTTTTCTGGGAAGAGGCCCCAGTATATTAGAATTTGTTATCACAAAGAGTGCCTCAAAGCCCAAAGGTCATGAAGATAGAATGAACTGTTACATTGTGTGCCCAGGGTGACCCTAAGGGTGTGTTTGTTAAAGGAAAAACTCAAACCAAATTAATTCTACTCAAAATCTAACTCAACTTTAACTCAACCCCACTATCCTCAATATTATCAATATAAGTATATAATAACAACCAATCATTTTTACACATCATATCAACTTTAATTCACTATTCATCCACTCACATAATTTTAACTAACCATATCTTCATATCATCTCTCTCCTACTTTTACATCAAACCAATTTTAATTATTTTATTTTAAATATTATTTTAATATAAACTCAAAATCCCACTAACAACTAACTACACCACTTTTTCTAACTTAACCCTAGTTAACTAAAAAAAACTCACTTTGAGTTAATTCACTCAAATTATTCCTTTAACAAACACACCCTGAGTTGTCAAAAACGTCGGCCATGTTTGTTAAATGGCGTTTTGGCCACAAGTAAGCGGTTTAGGCACAATAGCTATTTGACTTTTGAAACATTCCATTTTAATATGTTTGGTAAATAGCTTTTTGAAATAGCTTTTTTGATCTATAAGATGATTTTCAAAACGCTGCACAACAACAACATACCCAGTATATTCCCAATAGGTTGGGGTCTGGGGGGTCAGTTGTACGCAGACCTTACCCTTGTAATTATACAAGGAGACTGTTTCCGTAGCAACCCAAGGTGCATTGCGCCGTTTGATATATTTTTTTTTTCTAGAAACTTCACTAATAGAAGAACCAGTAGAATTTAAATGAGCCATTTTGATCTAGTCCATTATTAGCACTATGCCAGGAGAATTGTCAACAATGACTCTTCCAACACCATTTGCAATGGACAGGAAAACGCTGCACATCAAAGCATTTTCAAACAGCTTTTTGAGGAAAAAATATAAAAGGTTCTATTTGCCATTAATCTACTCTAGTTCATTTCTTTCCCATATTTGCCTCATATTATTTTCACATTAGCATATTGGGTTAAAAATTAAAGTAAGCTTAGAAAATAGATTTATATTTTATTACATTAACATATTGGGTTAAAAATCATAGCGAAATTATAAATGAACTCAGATTTCTTTAAATACGCCAATGACATTTGAAATTAAATGAATTAGGTGTTTTGTAAAAAAAGAAAAAGAACTCATTGAGTGATGAATTATGTGCAAATATATAGAGGAAGAGTAAGATTAAAGGTTGATAATTGATATGCGAATTTTTACATTTTTATGTTTTTTATTTCATTTCTTTTATTTATTTGAATATTTGTTATCATGTCAAATTAGAATCTTCTTCACATTTTTCACTTCACAATTATATATTGTTATTTCTTATTTGTGTGATTTTATTTTAAGTCGTTTTACAAATATTTTAAATATAAGTAATAGTTATTTCTAAAATAAATAAGTATAATAAAGAATAGATGTCCATATAAGTAATTTTACATGTTAACAACTAATTAAAATAGTTGATTCTACCAAACACTCTTTTGCAAACCGCTAACACAACCAGCTGGTCAAAACAACTAACACAATTCGCTAGTCAATGCAATCCGCTAACAGCTAACCGCTGATTACCAAACAAGGCCTTACTTCATCACTTATAAAGTTCAGTGTACTCCCACAGTATGCTACCATGGCAGGAATCCTACATTCACGTAAATGATGCTAAATATGGTTCCATCACTAGGTCATAAGGTTAAGTCTTAACATATGAGGTTCACGTTCAAATCAGTATCTCTCATTTAAGCCCAATTTATACATCATCTTCCACGTCAAGCATATTATTTATGGTATTGCATATTGCTCAATTGAAAATTCCACAATTGATCTTATTTATGGGAAATTGTATCATAAAATAGCCTGGTTTCAACCATAACCACTAATGTAACATCTATCTATTCACCTTACTATTCAAAAGTAATAGCACCAAAAGCGCAAGGAAGACAGACCTGTTGCATATCCTCTTGTTCCGAAAAATTACTTTGGTCTAACCAAAAGATGTCGATATTTCCCCGAGGGCTATTTGCAGATGATGTTGATGTCATGCTCCAATTAGAAGATGGTGAGCCATAATGATTTACCTTGTTTAGCAAGTGGCTTTTCAAGCTAACCAAGTTTGCCAGACGAGAATCATCAATGCAGGCAGTGTCCATCTCATGGAGATCCTCCAACATTCCATCCATTCCCTTACTTTGCCACTCACTGCCCTTTGGTGAATGAGTTTCTGCTGTCAAAGAAGAATTACTGTACCGCATTCTCAAAATCTCAGGGTTCATGTAGGTTTCACGACTCCTTGAATTGCGCAACTCTAACAAGCGTTCCAATAACTCAGCAAGCTTCAACAGGCACTCATTCACCTCTAGATGGTTGGAAACCCATTTGTCTGCAAATGCACATATATACGAATGTGGCTCCAAGTGAAAAGCAGGGACAAATTCTTCACATATCCGGCAAATAACTAAGTTAGAATCGTCTGCATAGTTCTCTTTCGCTTTATTTTGGGATTCCATCAGGAACATGTCATCACTTCTATCAGATTGCTCAGGATCTGACACATCACTAAATGCACTTTGAGATCTATTTTGTTCAATAGACATCCTATTCTTTGTGATTTCTATATCCTGCTCCTCAGCAGGATCCTTCAACCTGCTCTCATTCTCCTGGAACGGAACACCTGAATGGTCTTTTCCCTGAAACTGTTCCTTGGTATTAACTTGTTCTATAACAAAACCAGCATCAGTATCTGCAAAGCCCTTATCCACAACCCAATTCATGTCAACTGATGGGATCCTCTTTAAACATTGTCTGAATTTGTCCAGGGATTGTTCATTCACACGCCCACTATCTTTCTCAAAATGCAGCAATCTTGTACATCGAGTCAATATGAATAGCATGCGGGTAAATAGTATTTTCAACAATCCAGCTTCACATTTCTGTCTCTCCACAGTCAAGTCCTGTACAATCGTTTCACATTTTGTTCGGAAGTCTGAGGAAGTCATGGAAATACATTGCTGGACAAGAAATAGAAGTTCCTCTGCCATCATACATTCATCTGATCTCAGGGAATCATCTTTCTGCAATGTGTCCAGTATTTCCTGGGAAAAACTACGAAGCTCTATGTCTACAACTTCTTTTGCAGCATCAAATCTGGAACGTAGTGAACCCAAAAGCTCCTAAATGTCATATTGCAAGAAATACAACTGATTATCCAAACATATGAAAAAATAAAAATGAATAATATAATATCACATTGGTTCAGGGGAAGAAAAAGGAAAAAGTAGAAGCTGAATAGCTGATTTTGAGAAGATTATAAAAACGAGATACATGAAACACCAACCAAAAAAATTATAATTCAACAAGATGTTAATAACTCACAATATCTTAATATCCCTTAAAAAACAAAACTTAAGCACAATAAATCTCACTATATACCTTCAAATCATTATAGCTGTGCGCCCTTGGATGTGCAGGTTGAATGCCACCTTTCGGACCCAATTCGTGTGAAAAACTTTTTACATATTTCGACACCTTATGAGCAGGTTCGATTTTTGGTGGATCCCCAGTTATATTCTTCCACATCTTGAGAAATTTTTCTCGAGGATCCTCTTTGTCTCGACTGTTACACTCCAAAGCACTAGGCTGTTAAATTAATTACAAGAGTAATATCAGCTACTACTGTAAAGAACAAGAACATGGTAAGACTTGAATTATGATGCACAAAAAAGATGCCTGACCTCGGTGCTTGGGTAATTACTTATATCTTGATCAGAAGCCTCAAAAGGGGATGACGTAAACCACCGTGCTATCTTCCTCCCTTTGCGGAATCCTGTATCATAACAAATTTTAGTAAAGTTGCACCTTTTTCCCCATAACAAATGGAGACTACATTAGAAGAATATCCTAATAGTTAGATCAAAAGATATGGGCACAAACATATAGTGTGCTCCATGTGTGTGTGTGTGTGCGCATAACTGCATGTACATTGTGATGGGGTAGTGAATGCGAATGACGTCAGGGTGAATATCTGCACCGATAGACCCTCTTGATATTATCTTCTCATTTAAAGTCTCCCAAACGTCAGCAATTCCAGAAATTTATATTCTTGAATATGATTCCAAAACTTCAGTGCATTTGAGATTTAAAAAAAATTAAAAAGTCCCATGTGACGAAGTGTCTTTAAATACAAATCCAGAAAGAAGACATTTCTTTAAGCATTGATCTCGCTAGAAGGGTGATAAAACATTGAGAATGAGAAGAGGTTCACCAAGAGATGCGCTCTCTTACAACTGTATCATTCTTTCTTTTCTGTTCCTTTTTCTTTTTGGAGTGGTGCATGAGTCCAGAGTGAGTGGAGAGCAGAAAAGATTTATTACATGAATGCAACATTTCTAGATCAATCAAACACTTAGCTCACTTAACTGACAGCAGAGAGGCAACCTTATCACCTTCACCACCAATCACACCCTACCACAATTTTCACACATACCATCATTCCCAAAACAAAAGAAAAAAGAGAAAAGAAGAAAATCCAGACTTTTAATTTGCTGAATCACTTCTTGAAAAGTTCTCTTGTTAGTAAGTACCCCTGAAACATGTAATGATGCTTTTACAGCAAATCTAGCGGCTTTTTAAAGTTCTTGAAACCCAAGAAGGATAAGTTTAACTGAAAATACCAACAAATTGCCAGTTTGAGAGAGCCATCAGACAAAATTTATTCCTATTAGCATATAATAATTCATGCACTAGGTCTATTGTTTGCCATTTCTGGATTATTATTACCACGAGTCCTTCAATGATACAGAGAATAACTGCCAATAACTATTGGCTGATTCAATGAACCATCCAAGCTATGCAACACTGAGTAACCTTATTTCCTTATAAATTGTTGAGATGCCAAAAACAGCCAGATATTTCCGTACCTTTAACGCTTGGGAGCAAAAATCATAATGAAACATGCTAGCATAGAACCAAAAACAACAAGTAAAGCAGGTAATAAAAACCCACGCAAGAAAATCAAATTAAACACACAACAAGATAAACAACATGAAACCTTCTTTCGCGCGACCCAATTTCACGTGTCCTTTCGTCGGAGCCTTGAGCCTCTGCTTCACGTGAGCTCCCGCGATCGAAAATTCGCCACTGGGCGAGTCGTTACAGTGGTCGAAATCCTCAGCTCCTGAATTGGCGTCGACTCGCCGCGTCTTTATCCGGTTCAAACCGGTCGGAATCCCGATTTCCAATAAGGATGCCGAAGCGCCGCCGTTTCGACTCGGTTCCGCCATTCACGACCGAGCCAAAACTACGTGGTTTCTCGAGCTGCTTCCCCGATCAGCTTATCGTGTAATAACGACCGGAGAAACACGTTGACGGTTGAATTTGAGGAAGAAGACGACGGCGACGAACGGGAAAAAAAGAAGGTCGTTTGAAATCGATTTGCAGTGCGCGAAAGAAAGAAAAATAATTAGGATTTTGATTTTTTTTCACAATTTCTGTTTTTGGTGGAAAGTATGACGTGTTTGGTTAAAACTAAAACTTTGAAAGTTCAAACATTTCAAAACAAAAAGTTATATTTCCAATGATTTATTTCACGGGTAAATTAAGATACCCAAAATAAAAACCATTTTGAAATCAGTACTCAATTTGAAACTTGTGCGAAATTCGTACCCATACTTTTATTCTGTTAGCATCGTTAGTACCCGGTCGTTATATGCCCGTCAAATTCCCGTTAATTTTTAACGGAAATGGTCAAAATGGAGGAAATTTGTCTGTTTTTTGGCGTATGATGAAACCTATATATATAAGGTATCTGTACCATTTATTTTCAACAATAAAGCGCAGCCTCCACTGTTTATAAGAAAAAAGAGGGTAAACTGCAGTTTTGATACCCAAAGTAATGACCATTTTGAAAGCAGTACCCAAACTTTTATTTTGTTAGCAACGTTAGTACCCGACCGTTAACAACTAACGGGAATTTGACGGACATCTAACGGCCGGGTACTAATGTTGCTAACAGAATCAAAGTTTAGGTACTGATTTCGCACAAGTTTCAAAACGGGTACTAATTTCAAAATGACCTTTAGTTTGGGTATCAAAACTGCAATTTACCCTTTATTTCACATACAATTAACTACTATGTTTGGTAAAACTATAAACTAGTTTATAGCTTAAAGCTTCCAACTTATGACTTATAGCTGAAAAACTAGCTTATATGACAGAAGTGTTTGGTAAAATTAGTTGATAAACTAGCTGAAATAAAAATTTCAACGAGCTTATTTGAAAAGCAACCCAAATAAGCTTATAAGACAAGCTACCAAACGAAGTTTATTTGAATACAGAAAGCTTATAAGTTAATCAAATAAGTTGTAAGCTAGCTTATTTGTCTACCAGACATAGCCTAAGTATACGAATTTGAATTTGTGTTAGTTAACGAGTTGAATTGGCTGGGCTTGTTAAGACTATGTAACAATGAATTTTATGAAAATCATAAATTTATTGTACAACTTGATTTTATTTCGATCAAACGATATTGCGGACATAATATCTATTTAATATTTATATTTATTTTTTATTCTTCTCTTATTGGATTTGGGCTTGGGATCTTCAAAACTAGTTTTGATGATTGGATCTCTTTTATACTTGAGCTTGAATTTGTCTAACGTTAATTAGGAGGTCTAATGACTTGATCTCGAATTAAACGATTTGGATTTGATTTGATTTGAGATGACTTCCTAAAAGGACTTGCTTCTTCGATTTTCCTAGAATGTGAATTTTGGCTTAAATAACGTTGACTCAAGAGTTTGATAATTTTTTCTTGAATTTAACGCTATGTTAGTTGAATTTCTCGACGAACGCGGCTTGAATGTCATTTGAACGTCGTTGATATTCTTGAATTGATTTGAGAGGAGTGGATGATGCCTATGTATTTATTGGAGAAGAACCACCACCTCTTTTCTTTCTTCTTGACCTTATTATCTATTGAGCGTACTTCAAAGGTTAAGAGGCTTCTCGACCTTCTTGTCCATTGAGCGTACTTGGGAGGTTAAGAGGCTTGATTCCAGATTGAATGTTGATCGTTAATTTGAATGCCTTTGAATCTTCAAGAACGCCTTCAAATATTCAAGAGAATTCTTGAGAGTTCTTGAACTTGAGACTTTGATTTATAATGTGTGTTTTTTGGTTTTGGGATAGCCCTATTCATAGGAGCAGAAAAGAGAGCATTGGGGAAGAAAACATCAAATTTGATTGTTGATTTTATTTGACTTGGTGGGAAATAAATATTTACTTTATTATTTAAATATATTATTTATTTTGAATTTATGTCTAAAAGTAAATAAATGCACTAATTAATAAAATATTAAAATTTTAATGTCTACAGACTCGAAAATAGATATTTTTTATGTAATTTTTATAGCTCAACTCTTTAATATGGATAATCGAGTCGAACTCCAACTTTTAATGCTCATGCTCGAGCAGAGCCGGATACATAAAGGCTCGAGTGTTACTTCAAATATGCTCGAGCTTTATTTTTTTACACCTCTCTACACAGTGTGAAATAAATTTGTGTGCTCAATGGTTTATATTGATTTGCCCAATGATATTATCAAAATTAATTTTGGGCAAGAAAAAATAATTCTCCTTGTGATAGTCATTAATGTTTTTACTAGAATTTATTTTACTGGTGATTGTCATTAATAATTTTGGCATTGAATAAAAATCAAAACATAATTTTTAGGTATTTAGTAGGTAGAAATAATTTTTATCTCTCCTCTTTTCCCCCAAATTGACAAACAGTAAATCCGCGTCCTTTTTTTTTATCGGCAAGACACCGTTTTCTTCATGGCTCCGGTTGGCACCAGAGCCGCAACTTCATTCCCGGCAGGCCTAAGTATCCATCACTAAAGTGGCGCTTCTCCCAAAGTCTTGGTGGCCATGGTGGTCGTTTGTGGTTTCCAACGGCATGAAGACTGTGCGTGGTGGCGTGCGCCAATTGCCACCATTGTGGTGGTTGGGGCCGAGTTTGCAGCTTACTCTTTCCCATGTTCCTTGTTCTGGTGTTGGACGGATAGGTCCTTCGACGGGGGCGACTCTCGTTTCCAACCGGCGTGGGGGACGGGTTGGTGTGGTTTGTTGGTGCTGCAGCCGAAGTGTGCGTGGGGGACCGGTTGGTGTGGTTTGCTGGTGTGACTCGGGGTGACCATTTTTTAGGGCGTCTCCAATTCACTGGTCCAGATCTAGTTAGCCGTATGGAGAGTTTCTAAATCCGTGTTTTGGCTTGTGGGTTGTGGACCTACTTTGGCTGGTCGCCTTGGGTGTTAGCTTGTGTTGGGAGGTGTTCAGAATCCGGTCTTAGATACAAACGAAGCGAAGCGAAGTGAAGAAAAGGTTTGAAGGTTTTTTAGTTGGTACATACATAAAGACCGAACAAGGTTGGTTAAAAAATGTTATCCAATTCTATGCTTGTGTAAGTAAAAGAGATGAAAATGATGTCAATCCCACCCTCAAAAGTGATTGTTCTTTGTCATAGTTCTTCCTAGAAAATACACTTTTTTATAGGCACGTAATTCAATCGACATGAGGACACATGTAACGCCCCGCTCTAACTTAATTATCAGAGTGCGTTTACAAGACATATTTTAAAATAGTTCGAGAAAATGATTCGGAGCGTTACTAAAACATCTATTTTATCTTTTAGAAATCCGTTATGACCGTTTAAAAATTTACAACAAAAACGGATTTACATAATATACAATCCGACTATAAAATCGGATCAAAAGTCAAAGTTTGTCAAATAGTGAAATTCAGCGGAACATAGCGTGGCAAAACAAATTTACAAAATATTTAACTTCGATCCATCCGTCAAGTCACAGCTCCGGACCGACTCCATGACCTGAAAAATTTGATAAAAATGGGGTGTGAGTACCACTGTACTCCGTAGGAACTCATACTAAAGTAAACAGCAATAATAATAGTAACATCATGATCAAAAGCATATAACATAACCGTGAATTTCCTGGTCAACAGTATAAACCGGACCGGGACTCGTGAATCTACCGGCTGTCATGATGATAATGATAATGATAATGATGATGACAATAATAAGCCGGAATCCATGTGCACATACTAGTGGTAGATGACGCCACTAGAACTTAGAAGGGAATTATGGCAACCTGAACCGGCCAACATCCATTCCAAGCGGAAAACATGATTGACATACCTTGAACATGATATCGTAATTATAATCAATGTAATACCCAGTCTGAGTCCCCACCTGTACTGT